GGAGTCTCCCTGTGCATGCGTAGGTTCTCTTGGAGTACTCCGGCTTCCTCCCACAGCCCAAAAAGATGACTTTTAAGTTAATTGGCTTCTAAAAATTGTCCTTAGGTGCGAGTGTTTGTGTGTGCATGGTTTTGTGTTTCTGTGTTTCCCAGTGACAGATTGGCGACCTGTCCAGGGTCTCGTCCATAAACTGCGGGAGATAGGCACCAGCGGGAGAATATGGATGGATGGATGAGCTCATTCAGACCTTATAGGATAATGTTGAACACTAATGACAATAATAATAGTATTACACAACCAGCTCTCAATCAGGATTGATTAATTACAATTAATTGGTCCTTGGTCCAATACACCGGATTCATATGACTCAATTACCTCCTCAGTATGGACTAATCTAATTTAGACACATCTTTTTAGACGCATCTTAAAGTTTTAGCACTTGAGGAGTTAAGGTTGACAGCTGTCATATGATTTTTAAACGATATGTTTTAATGCAAAACCATTTCATTGTTGCTCTGGCTGTGTGCTTTGGTACATTTTCTTGCTGGAAATAGATTTTTTTTTTTTTCCCCAGAGTTGCCGTATATCAGCTTATATATATTTTTTTTATAACTCTAAATAGCATCTATATCCCTGTTGTGAAAGAAAAACATCTCTATGGCATTAGTGCCCTGCCAATATGTTTCATACTGAGGTTGGGACTGAGTTTTGTTTGGTTTTTTTTGCCACACAAAATTCTTCCTAATGTGTGGTATAGACACCAAGGAGATTTGGCTGCATGCTTTAATATCACAGTTGTAGTAATTACTCTAAACTAAATATTTTAGTAATCAATGTAGGATCTCTAAACCATAAGATGTATGACATTCCTTTTTATTCCTTTTGTCTAATCACACCAGGAACCTTATTGCTTTACCCAGACAAAAAACAATGCTAACTATCTTAAGGTTTGAAGGCTGACTGCAACTTGAGGTCAAATGCCTCTATTGAAACCATATGTTAACAATTGGCTGTAATTACACGGTGGCAGCGCAGATGCCATTTAAAATCAAGCAGTTCTTGTCACATGTAACTGTACATTTTTCTTTATGAATGGCATGAAGACAATAAGAGGCCATTTCTTCAAATGCTTCTGCTTTTGTTTTGATTTAGTTCATGTATTGTTTTCCCACCCTCTGCCTTGTTAAAAAAAAAAGAAAAAAAGAGAAAAGTCATTAGTTTTTTGTAGTTAATGTTGACTCAGTGTTTGTCACAAATGCCTAGATTTAAACATTTTCCAAAACCAGATGCAACACTAAGAGGATAAAAAGCGGGAGGGTTCATTGATTTTTGTGTGGAACAATCTATAAGGTATTGAAAAGTACTTTCCTTGCAAATACCCAGAATAAGGATTCCATGCTGGCATTCTCAACTTTCAAGTTCCATGCCTGTCAAATCCAGTCAGTCAATTAACAACCAGTCAGTAAAAGAACTTTGAAACACATGTCGTACAAGACATAAGGGAGTATATAGGTTAGAGGCTGTTTGTGCAAACTGTATAATAGAAGCAAGGATACATCCTTTTTTTTACTGGTATCCCTAATGATCAGGGCTGAAAGAATTAATCTGATTAATCGTCAGTTAATTTAGTAATTGATTAATCGTTAACTAGACCCACTTAGAGCAGTAATTATATCAAAATATAAAAACATTTTGCTTTTAGAGAAAAACTTTTTTTTTTCCATCTATCAATATGCTCTATCCAGAACTCCAGTGGAAAAGTTTTAGATTCACCTGGTTTGATTTCATAAAAAAATCTTCTTTAAGGAAACTTTGGCTATCAGATTTATTCTTATTAATCTATTAATCAAATAAATAATCGATGGATTAATAGATTTACAAAATAATTGTTAGTTACAGCCCTAGTATCGATTATCTGTCAGTATTGGGCATCACCCATGTCGTACGTGTTCTTGTAAAAAACAACCCGATATTCTGAACCGATACCACTGCTATGTTTGACTAAGATCACAGTATCAACACAGATAAGTGAGCTGCAGCTGTCAAGAGGCCCTCTGTTGAGATCCCCCCCCCCCCTCTACTTCAACTACGCTGCACAGGATCCTATATAAAAATAAAGTTTGTAGGCTTAGCATTTTAGAAAATAAGATTAAGAACTTTTCAAATTTACAAAGATTTTTTTAGCACTTCTATCTGTACTCTGCATCAGCGAGTACTAAAATGTCAGAGCTTCTGCTCGTACATTATTAGGAGAAATTTGGTATCAGGAAATGCCTACTAGATGGCATTCAGAAAGCTGATCTATCTTTTTTCTTTAAGCCAGGAAAAAATCAAATATACGCCAAAGAGGAGGTCTGATTTTTAAAGACAGTTTCTTTTTTTATATTTTTATAAAGAGAAATGAAAACTTTTGAGTGTTGCTTTTTAAAGATATTCTTCATGAGTGTTGGAGAGACACTTCCATCCGCACACCTTTATCTTTTAAAAAGAATTTAAAATATAGCGAATATCCTTTAAGTACTAAGTTCAAATTTGTCTCCAGCTGTAAATGTCTCACTATGCGTTTTGGGACAGTGTTTCTTTGTCAGAAAACAGTAACTGAGTGATGGCAAGTGATTATTAGCTGACAAAGTAACACTTGTAAACAAGACGTTCTCACCAAAAGCTTGAGTAAGGGCATGAAAATGGACACATTTTAAAAAAGGACGTACTGTACATGCTCAGTCATACTGGCAAACATCCAGCTAATTGTTGGATGTTTCGTTGCACTTTATTTCATGCCTCTGTTCCACGTCGAAACATAAACATTATACTGTGTTTAGAAACTTACTGTACTCTCTGAAAACAACCTCTGACTACTTTCTTTCCCATTTTTCTGGCTGCAGCAATAAAAGACAACACAATCCACTCAGCAAAAGGAAAACAGAGACTGTAGTTAATTAAAAAACTGAAAGAAATTACTAAATTTGCCAAGTGATTTGAGAGACTTCAATGCCAGCTGACTGTCAGCACAGATGTGTTGCACATTTATAGAGGCTGGAAAAAAAGAGATAAACAACATAGGAAAGGAAATTTGATCCAAATGACTCTGCTTGCTATTTTGGTAGGGTTTTAAAAGAGACGTTATATTATGAATTTGTCAATTCATTAAGAATTCTATTAAAACGTATTCCAAAAGATATAAATTATTATTCCTGATGTGCAATATGGGCTGTTATTACTTTTGCTGACTGAAGGGAAAAGAGGTTAATAGTCACAAGGTTGCTTCAAATCTTTTTGCTGCATATTCATGATGTAGATCTCTTGTGCCACCATGATCCAAGGTTCCTTAATATTCCTTATATGTTAATTTGGTGTGGTGAGTGTTGAGCTTATTAAAGTACAGTTTTTTCATGGTTGTGTTTAAGAAAGCAATTTGAGATGATTTAAGTTTGTAACCTAGTACACTATCATCATTAAAATAGCCATCAGTAGATTGGTTATCTTGTAGGTTGTGACATTTACGATACTCGGTTGTTGTTAGGAACGTGATTTACGCCAAGAGCAAGTCCCTTCACAATTAACCCAACACCTGACTGAACTATGATATAAAGCAGGGTTGATCCATTCCTTTTTTTAATGCAAAATTCTTAACACTATTCTTGTATTGCAATGATTGAAGCTGAGCCTTAGCAGACCGATTTTTAAGTGTCCAAATCTGGTGAACCAGTGTTGCCTATTTTTCCTGGTCTTCGCTGACAGAGCCCTTGATATCGGCTTTGGTTGTGGTTTGCCAGCTACATGGAGATACAACATGTATTGAGGTTAGTTATTCTCCCTTAAGGCTTTCTGTTAAACTCAGAAAAGCCTGCCTTATTCCACCCTGTCACTTTCAAAGTTTCTATATCATAATTTTCTCATATTTATGCTCAGTTTGATCATAGTTAATGGTATAGTGGAGGATTTTCTTTGTCCGGGTGGATCATCTAAATAAGTGGTGGTCCTCCTAATTGTCAATCATTCTGGTGATATGTTTATGTAAAGCCATCCTACATGCTCGTCCCCATTTTCAAAATTGCAAATCTTCCTTTGGAAAGTAACCTTGTATGAGAGATGCAAACAGCTTTTAAACAGAGCGTGCATGAAAAGAAATGGGGTTTTTCATGCTCTCGCATTAGTTTAATAGGCATTTCCTCTCAGGAGCGGGTACAGGGTTGTGGATGTTTTGTTTTTTTTTTTTTGTTTTTTTTACTTGCAAAAAATCCTCCACTATACCTTTAAATATTCATGACTTAAATATATAGATTAGTATATGCACTGAGTTGCTGCCTTGTGATTGGCTGACTTAATGTTTGAGAAACTAAACAATTGAAAAGCTCTGCCTAATGAATTTCTTCGTATTGTATTCAGTCATTCATCTCTTTGTTGGATTACAAGTATGACCCTCTACCAAACAAATTGAAAGTGAATTTAAACTGTAAGTCAGGGTACATGTTCAAGATAAGTTTTAACTTACAATATAGGTTGAGAGAAAACTTCCAACACTGCAAAAGTCTTCTTTTTTTTTTTCTTTTTTTCTCTTTGCTGGTAAGTAGCCACTGACCTCGAAAAAGAACAGATGTTAGAGAAAGAGACCAAGCTAATAATTGAACTGCACAGACATTTAACGGATGCAGGTTCGGAGTGACCAAGGGGTCACATCTTGACTAATTGTTGACTAAGACAAGTTTGGGAGCTCAACAAATAGCTGCATGGTAACATGTTGCAGCTATTAAGAGTTCAGCCCTTTAGGCTATGTTTAGTTGAAGAGAAAAAATGACTTTTTAGTCTAGAACATAAAAAAAAAACAATTTCTTCACTTGTGTTTTTTCTTTTTGTTACTTTTTTTGGCTCATATATTGTAAAAATATATTAATGTTGAACTCGAATATTAGCTTACCGTTTATCTGTTGTTAAACATGACTATGCATGCAGTTTATCTGGAGTAATGTAGCTGAGTCAACCTTTTATTTTGTCTCTAGTCAGGTTTGATCCGAACACAGGATGCAGACTACTTCTTGAGACCAGTGTCCCGTAGCCTTGCAGAGAAGGAGAACTTCACCTCTCCTATCAGTCACCAGCCACACATCCTCTACAAGAGTGATGGAAACACCAATTCAAAGCAGACCCATCACAAGCTTCACAGTCTTCAGAAAAGATCTACTGATTCATCTCATCACAAATCAAGATTACCTTCCTCAACTGAGCCTCTGCAAATTCAAAAAGGTTCCAGCCATGTTAATCTGCATGACAAAAGTAATGACACAAGTTATGGAGGCCAGCTGAAGCATGGAGAGCGCAGCCGTCATCGCAGTTATTACAAACATGGGGAAAAGCAGAGGCAGCACTTCTGTGGGAGAAGGAAGAAATGTATGTAAGGGCACTTTCTTATTTTATTTTCTAAACCAGCAACATTCATTGCATAACATATATTGCTTAGAAAAATGTCTTATATAGAATTCTACATATGCAATTGATTCATTAGTAGTTAAGCTTTACTCGGATAAGCCACATGTTAAATCACTATGACAGGAAAACATCTGTCGGATGTAGGAGTTTACTCTGCAACCGGAGGGTTGCCAGTTCAAGCCCAAGCTCTGCCATCAGTGTTGTCCTTGGGCAAGACACTTCACCTCCACTATCTACAGATGGTGGTCAGAGGGAAAGGAGCCTTGCTCTAAAATGTAATTTGCTATCATCAGTGTGTGACTGAATGACTGAAAGTAGTGTAAAGCGCTTTGGTCAAGTCTCCTGACTTGAAAAAGCTCTATACAAGTACAGGTCTTTTACTATTTACCATTTTATTGGGTTGTGGTTGCATAGGTACAGATGAAAACAATCAAAATCAATTCCTACACATTAGAAAAGCATTAATCTAGCGAAAACGTTTTATCATGCAGAATATGTATTTTAAATTATTTAATTAAAGATGGCTTGAGCTGCTGAACACATTGCAATTGGCCAATGACTGCTGTCCTACAACCTCTTGCCCAACACATAACTAAAATGTCTAAATAGACTCCCCAGCAGGCCAGTGTTTGAGCCAGCTGTGTTGAAGCAGAAAAGCATCTAAATATTGACCATCCGGCTTGAGTTTGAGAGCACTAGTTCAAATATTTCTAATGATATAACAGCAAGATCAGGTATTACTACATTTATCACTGAGGCCATTTAGAGGCATCAGTCAAGGATTTCCCAGGTGCCCTGCACAACCCCAACTGCCTGACCCTTAGGAGAAGATAACCTGTCAATTCCTATATAAACAACCTTTCATTATCTTATCCAGGTCAGGTGATAAAAAAGGAAGATTTTCTTCATGTAGAAATTAGAGCTGATGTTATTTATTATGTACCATTTCATTAGGACATAAAAATCTGCTCATTCATTTATTATGGTTCATTAAGCTGGATGTTTTGTTATTTACCCTAAAAAGCTATTTTACTGAAACTTAATAAGGACCCTCAGTAGAATTATTTTAGATCTTTACCATGTCTTAAAAATAAATAAAATGTTAATTTAAATTTGTTTTTTTTGTTGTCTGGAATTTATTTTGACAGATATGCCAAAACCTCCAGAAGAGGAGGTTTTCATCCTTCCAGATGAGTACAAGTTTGTCCCCAGGAACAAACGGGCAGTGCTGACGAAGAATCAACCCAACCAGAAGCTCAATGTGGAGACACTGGTGGTAGTTGACAAAAAGATGATGAATAACCACGGCCATGAGAACATCACTACATATGTACTTACTGTGCTTAACATGGTGAGATAAATTACTTTTGTAAGTACTGTTACAATAGTCTCAGTTAACATTGTTTCTTATATTAACACAATAAATGTAGGTTCTTAATTATTTGTTATAGATTTATGAATAAACTATTTTAGGTATGCAAAACAGCTTGTTTGAAAAAAGATTAGCCATTTAAAACTCCCATTCATTGTCTAAAAATGAAACAACCTTCTCTTATTTACATTAGTATAGGGATTTTTGTGGACAATGCTTAAACAGAGATTTACTTCTGGTTCCTTTTGAGTAGTTTTAATATGTGTGGTTTTGAGGACATTGATTTGATACTGGCTATTAATAGCAACTAAAATATGGTTATTGCATGCCAGAATACGTAGTAATGATTAGCAAATGACATAAGACAATGGGACTTTTTAAATAATAGACTGCAACCATACCGCATAAAAATGTAAACATTTCATACATCAATATTAGGAGGCAATTGGTTGTCGTTAGTGAGGCACACATGAAATTCCCTTGTTTTATTTAACACATGGAAAGTGCTACCAGTTGCATGATTTCAGCGTGAAACCTATAACTGGTCTGTAAGTTAAACTACATTAAGCCTAAATTAGATATGCACCCAGCTTCCCTAAAATGAAAAAGTTGACAATTACTGTCTAGATTTATGAACATTTACATGCATAGGCAAAAAAAATTTTCAGGAAGTTTAAGTTTTTTAATTGATAATTATGTCATAAGAAGGGTTTACTGTATATCTGGCAAAGTCACTGACCTGGTAAAGCCCCCCCCCCCAAAAAAACAACTAAATTTTTCTTTCAGTACCATACCAAAAAAGTTTAAAAATTCACTTTGTTTTCCAAGTTTGAAGACATTTCGCCTCCCATCCAGAAAGCTTTCTCAATCCAAAATGTCTGAAGTTGCATTGAGTTCCAGGCCTATACAGTAACCCAAACAAGCATTCATTGAATTATCTGTATAGAAGGAGTGCATACATATATCAATCTGCTCTCTATAGCTTATAGAATGACTATTTCATTTACAATATATCAGTTTTAAGGTGCCACAGTTTTGAAGACAGGACAGTATTTGGCAAGCTTTGTTCCACTAATTTTTATCTAAAAATGCTGATGTGTCAAATGGAGAGTAAGAATTATAAATGTATAATAACCTTCAAAATGCACATTGGGTCATTTGGTTCTCAGCTGTTGATATGTAGTCATGGTAGGGTATCACATTAAAAACATTAAAGGGTTTACTAAGTTTTCTTTTTTTTTTTTTTTTTTTTTTTTAGGCTTATTTATTCAAGAGGCTTTTCATCTGTTGTCACCACACGGATTGTAACTTAAGCTAAACATACAGTTTATTTGAGGTGTGAAGGCTTAGGGTTTAGTAACTGGATATCCATGTCTTTTTTAAAAGGTCTAAAAAAGACAAGAAGTTATCAAAACGAGCACATCTGCAAACATGAAACTGATCCAAAGTGAGGTCATTGGTGCGGCTTTCAGTGTCCCTCTGCTGATCCTAGCTGATCTGCAAGAGAAATCTGTCACGCCCATTTTGCTACCTAATGACTGACTGACAAATCCAAAGATAATCCTTCTATTTCCAAAACATGGCTCTGTCAAGTAAGCCAGCCATGAAGGAGTCGCCTAAATACAGAGGAGGATCACAGAAAACACCCACATCACTAGCTTCTACCTACCAGGAAATTTGATATTTCTTGAAAAACGTAATTATATACGTCAACTAATTAATCGCAGAGTTGTCTGTTTTTTTCCTTAAGGGCAATCTGAAAAGACTCAAACATGTTTTGTAATCACTCATTTAGTATAAGGTATTTAAGTTGTTTACCTGTAAACCAGGGACGTGGCTAGACCTATTTTAGGGTGGCTGAAGTCATCCCTTCGTTGGTATTAGCCACCCCATAATTATTTTGCGATTTTTATTGTTATTTTTTTATTTATTGATTTTTTTTCCATATAACCCCAAACAATTGCAGTAAAGCACTGAAAACGAGCCACCAAGAAGGCAAGTTAATCTGAAGATAAGTTCCTGTTAGTTTATTTACAAACACAATTATTTATACAATTATTAATATCGTTAGGATATTCATTTCCTTCATTGGCTCCGCGTCCAGCGTCACGTCACGTGGTACACGGCCATCAACTGGACCATAGCAGCTGTGCAGTGCAGCAACAGCGCGCCCTTTGAATCTCCACACAGTCATCGAGCTTGATTAGGAAAGTTATGGTTGCGTGCAGATACATACGGTGAGTTTGCCATTTGATGTCAGCGGTTTACATTTTCTTCACTTTACCTGGAGTGAGGAAAGAGACAATATAGGCCTAATAGCTTGTCTGATTCAGTAGGAATTACGTTACCATGGTGAACAAAGTCAGTGGTGTGGGAAAACACGATGTTGTTGTAGCCTACTAGCATCATTATAATAGTTTTGTCACAGGAGCAGTGATGGGCAGTAGCGCCGCTACATGTAGCGAAGCTATTAGTTTAACTACATTTTCAAGTAGCTTGACCGTAGCGTCGCTGCTTTATTTATCAAGTAACTTTCCTGTAGCGACGTTATTGTTTTGATCAAGTAGCGACGTAGCGTCCACAAACGCTACAAAATCCAGGGCAAAACTAAGAAATGAAACCAGGTTTTCTATTTCTAAACAACAATCAGCCACAAAACTACTGTAAATAGCAGTTTCAGCTGACGCTTTATAAGTGGCGTAGTAGCACAGGCACACTCCGTAGGGTTAAACAAGCGCACCTTTTCCGAGGCTGTCGTTCTATTGGCTGGAAAGGTTGCTAGGCAACGATCCAACTGCAGTCTGAGAGAGCAAAACAAATCCGCAAGCAGAGCGTAACTGAGACCCGTGCAGAGCGGAGATGGAGGCAAGCGAGAGGAAAAAATATCTGTGATAATATAGAAAATATCTGTTTAAATCTGAGAGAAGAAACAAAGATTTTTGAGAGAAGAGAAAATATTTGAGAGAGAGCGCATGTTTTGAGTGTGAGCATTATAAGTTTTGAGTGCAAGAAGATGAAATTCTTTTCTCTAATTGAAGTTATGTGCTCTTGCATTATGGCAGGATAATTCTCCCATATCTATGTGCCACCATTCTGATAGGGCGACACTGTGTGATATGGTAGTGCTTCCTTGGGTTGACTATAGTTCTAAGTTGTACGTTTCATATACTGTTGATTTTGTGTTTTCATTAATACATTGTACTTAAAAATACTTCCTTTATTTGCATTAAAACTTTGTCAGACTGATGTGAAAAAGTCTCAAGGATATCCTTCTTTTCAATGATGCTATTGCCTATTGCCTACTGTCCATTTATGCAACTTGTATTTTGTGGTTAAACTTTAGATTAAGCAGAAATCTATCAAAGATAATGCTGCATTTATTGTTAAGTTCCTCACATATATGTGTTTCTCTCTGTGCCAGGTGTAGAGAAAGACATGCCAAAGTCCAGGTCACACACACACACCAAGCACACACACAGAAACAGGGTTATTGCAAAGCAGACAGGGGTTCCTGACAGGTTGTGGGTGCAGGGGAGATGGGGAAAGATGAATGGCCAGGTTAAGGGTTTATGAAGATGTTGGGAGTCTGTTGGTTAGACAACTGTCTTCTGTAGAAGGTTTCCATTATGATGAGTGGCGAACCACTTGCCTTCTTCCATTTATGCAGTAATGCATGGCACCTACCATTTACTCTTTGTAATTTAGCACATTTTAACTGGTGTAGTTTAGTTGGTGAAGTAGCATTAGTGAGGGAAGTGTTTCCCAGGTATGTTGCTCTTAAAATAATGAATTTATAGACAGCGCCTTAGAAAGTGCACTGAAAAAATTTCGGCGCGCGCTACGCGCGCGCAATATCTTGCCTAGGGGCTAAGCCACCCATGTCTCTCAAACCTAGTGACGGCCCTGCTGTAAACAAAGGATCTCCATGGAAACTGTTTCCTCCGTGTGGCATCCAAACAAATCGGAACAGGATGTGCAAATCTGAACCTCTGTTAAACACTGGGGTTCTGCCATAGTGTTCTACATAGAAGTTACTTATATATTGCATTAAAAAGGCGCATCAATTAATGCGTTGTGTGCTCTCCTCTGCAGGTTTCCAGTTTATTCAAGGATGGCACAATAGGAGGGAATATCAACATTTTTATAGTGGGTCTCGTTCTGTTGGATGAAGAGCAGGTAAGGATATATATTGTGAAGTGTAATTTATAAAAGAACTCGTAAAGGAGTAAGAATAACCATAGGGCAGGAAAAAAACATGTAATATTAGTATTCACAACGGCAATACATGTCTTTCTTCATTCTATGTTTGACTATTTCTTTTTGTATAATAGATTTGATTTACGACCATTTTTATACCTTTTTAAATGGAATTAAGGAGTGTTGCAAGACCTGTCATAAATCAAAAAGCAATCCCATACCTCCTTAAAAGCATAATGGTTATTTTTTTTGTTTTTTTATTAATTACCTCTTCCAGAATGGCTTGTTCATCAGCCACCATGCTGACCACACTTTAAACAGCTTCTGTCACTGGCAGTCAATTCTTGGAGGTAGAGAAGGCCGACACCATGACCACGCCATCCTCCTCACAGGACTCGACATTTGCTCTTGGAAAAATGAACCCTGTGATACCCTTGGTATGACTTAATTGTGTTTCACTTTCATGTAGCTGAAATTGCAGAATCAAAGGGACCTGCACTCCTGAGGGATTCAGCGGGGCTGAGCTCTGTTTCACATTCTTCATGAGCTGTATAAAAGGCTTTCTGCGTCACATACCAATACAGTCTCACTCCCAACGTGTCAATATCTCTCTTGATGGTGGTACCCCTCTCGTAATTTTTGACGTTCAAGGGTGTTTGAAGGTTTTGGCAGGAACTTGCAAAAATTTCCCAAGAACTGCACAGTGAAAAAAGGAGCACTGAACCATCCTTTACCTAAACTCTAACCCCTAAAACCTGAAGAAACGATAATTTACATGTTACCATACACTCGCAAAGATACCAACAATAATTTTTTCAGCTAAAATGTTTTTAAAAATAAGTTGCGGGTAACTTTCTGTAATGTCCGCAACCTGTCATTTACCCTGGGCGTCAATATGTCCGTGTTGAACAAGTTGGGAGTGAGGATGTGTTGCAAATACAGCTGCTTAATATTTTTCAGAGATGAGGTGAAACTGGAAGACAATATGGTGTCTCTGCTCTATCTAACCTCAGATGTATATTGTTGGGGCAATTTAAATTTTAAGATCTTACAATTAATAGAGCAGATCAATAAGAAAGTGGATTATCTGAAAGAGGCACCTGATTGACATCCTCCCTTGGGGGGAAAAAAAGCCTTTTCAGTTAATTTAAAAGGGACGGAAGATTCCTTTTGCATTAATGCGTCTGATGACAGGAACCAAGGGGTTAGGGGTACAGAAGTTCATCCCCTTTTGTTATAACCCTTATCAAGCAGGTTTGTCACACCCCTACAGAAGCTAACTGTTAGAAGTGCATAATCAGGAGACAGAAATCATTTCAGTCATGAAGTAATTATACAAGATGAATAATTTAAATCTGAATCATTTCCTGGGTCAGCAAAAGCTCCACTTGGTTTTAAAAAAATGATATCAGGAGACATCTGACACGTATTTAAAGCATAGCTCTGACCGCAGGAACCTCCTTAAACTTAGCACTATATGGTTAACCTTAGCCTTTTAAAATTAGCATTTACTCTGATCTCTACTATGAAGGCCTAGATGAAGGGTATGCCTCTGTATGTATGAAGACAACATTGTCCTAAGTCATAGAGCAAAGTTTGTTTGCATTGCTATTTCAGCCGTGTCCTTCCATATTAACATTCATATTTCAAAACTAATCTGTAACACATGATTTACTCCTTTCCTGACAAAGACAATTAATTAAATTGTAGTTTTCACAGTCAAATTGCTTAAGTTATGTTTAATATCATTATTCACATGAGTTTTGCACTTTGTAGCAAACAACTTAAATTATTACAGTATATGTGTGTGCCAGGAGAGGCAGAGGGAGATTGGACAGAGAGCATCACAAAGGGAGTAATAGAGAATGAGAGTGTGGGATTTTTAAGATGGAATAAAAGAAGTTAGCTTTTTGGATCTGAAAAGAAAAAAAAAACATGTGGAAGAGATTGTTGCAATGCAATGTCCATGTTTGAGGTTTTTTTTATACAGATATGGTTAATAGATTTCTGTTAGGAATCTACATTGTGGTTTTTTTTGTTTTGTTTTTTAGTTGTTTGTTTTTTGATTGCCATAAAGTAAGAAAAGTTGAAGCAGATGGAAAAAAAAATGTATTGCACTTGTTTGCAGGCTTTGCTCCAATCAGTGGAATGTGTAGCAAGTATCGCAGTTGTACTGTTAATGAGGACACTGGCCTGGGTTTGGCCTTCACCATTGCACATGAATCGGGACACAAGTAAGAGTTACTGTTACCTTCCATAAATTTTTTTGAAGACTATAGAGGACTGCTTTTTTCGTTACCTCTAATAGATTATCTCGTCATACCAGTATGTCTTTATTAGAACTATGTTACAAAGGAAAGTAACATAATTAAAGAAATGCTAGTAAATTATAAAGAAAAACATTAAAGGTCTCTAAATATTTGGCAAAGCTTCTGATATTTCACGCTTACAGTTCATCACTGTATTAGTCTGTTCTTTAGTATGTAAATTAAATCATATTAAAGCTAAAGAAATTAATCAGATTAATCGTGATTAATTGATTATTGAAATAATTGTCAACTAATGGTAATAGTAATCGATTAATTGTTAACTGGAGTATATAGACTGTAAAATATGCCTTTAGCTGACAGAGCGACCCACTTATAGCAGTACCAAGATTGTAAAAAACAAAGTATAAAAATTTAGTATCTGAGATAATTCTATCCAGAGCTCAAATGGAAAAGTTTGAGTTTCACCTGGTTTTATTTAGTAAAAAGTCTTCTTTAAGGAACCTTTGGCTATCCGATTAATTGAAAAAAAAAAAATGTCAACAGATTAATTAATTTACAAAATGATCTTTATTGCAGCCCTAATCATTAAACCTAGCTGTACTTTTTGCATCAAATATCACTGTTAGTATAGATATTTTATTCTTTGATTGTCAGTTTAACTTTTTTGTTATCTTAGGGGAACAAGCCAAATACCTTTTCCTGGCTGTAACTGTAAAACATTTCAGTGCCATGCTGTTCTAGTGTGAGTTGTTCCTGTTTCCGAAAGGATATATCTTGTGCCCTTTGTCATTTCCCCAGTTTTGGAATGGTCCACGACGGTGAGGGCAACGTTTGCAAAAAGTCAGAGGGCAACATTATGTCTCCAACGTTAGCAGGTCACAATGGTATCTTCTCTTGGTCTCCTTGCAGTCGCCAGTATCTCAGCCGCTTTCTAAAGTAAGTAGCAGTGTTCTTTAATGTTATCGATCTATTTAAAAACGCCTTAACGTTGATACTTAAGGGTACGTTTCTATGTTGGAGGGTATGTAATTTCCCAACACATAAGTGTCTTAAAATTATATCAAACTGATACTTAATAATCATTATGATCGTGAATTTTTTATTGGGTATATTTTGTAACAGTAATGCAATTAGTATTGACAATATTTTCAAAAGGGTTTAGTGAAGAAATAACTATTGGACTGCATCTGTGTTTAATAGAGGGGCTGAAATACACAATTAAACCGACATAGCTACTATGTGAACTAAATTGTTGATGATCTTTGCTTCTGTTGTTTTATCGAGAGAATATTTATTATGTGTCGAAATACGTGTGTTTTTAGGCACTGTCTAAATTTCCAGGCAAACAGGCTGCTCACTAAAGCAGGAAAACAAGCATCTCTGCCACAGCGTCCATATGTCTGGCCGTGTTCCTGTGTCTGTCAATGTGCTTGCATGTGGGAGCGTGTGTGTCTTCGCATGAATGTTTGTGTGCTTGAAACTAGATCGCTCTAAGGCAGTGCCCTGCACTAAATTTACCAGTGTGTTAACCGAACTGTCAGGTTTCCCCTCTCAGAGTGCTGGAGACAGACGCTGTATTTTCTTGCTGAGTTATTAGAGCTGGGATGACCTCAACCTTGTTAGCCCTGTCAGCCTTATATTAAACTCCCATCCACCCTTTAAGCTAAATAGAATGGTCTCTAGCATCACAGAATGTCTAGGATCTTCTTCCCACATGATCACTGAATTGCTCGGTGTTTTCCTTGTCTCAATCAACAGAATGTTGGGATATATAAACATTCTGGAATTAATTTATCCTCAAAAGTTAACTAAGACTGCAGTTGTTGTTTTTTTTTTTTTTTTTTCTTTTGAAAAGGGGAATAGTGTCATCTTAAATCTAAAATGTCTTAGTCTGGCACTACAAAGATGTGAGCAAGTGTTGTCTGTAGAGTGGAGATTTAATTAAAGTCTCTTAATGCTGTGAAAAGCCCCTTTTCAAAGGGGCTATCAATCAAACATAGGTTTCAATGCGAGTGAAGTTCCTTGCTAAAGTATTAATTTGCCATTAAACCTACAGCTATGCACTAGAGAAGTGGTGTATATTTGTAAACTGGAGAGAAGTGTGTGATAATGTATATCTGAAAGGGATTCTAATTCTTCAACTTTACATTTTATTTCAAAGTGTCACTGCAATTAAAGCTGCGAGTCTTGTTCTATAAATATAAACATTTTACCTTCTGGACTTTGATGGTTTCATTAAACATGTTAACAGGCTTTGTTAACCTCTGACATCTTTTGCAGCTTTGTTTAGTTTTTCTTTTGGGGGTTTTCTGATTAACCCTCCTCCCATCAGGTCTGTCAGTTTAGGTGGATAACTATGTCTTGGTTGGACAGTAGTTGAGGCATGCCTTTTCATTTTCCACATAAAGTGAAAAGGTTGAAGCTGACATGGTCCAAACTTTTGATACTGTTTTACAACCATATTTAAGCATCTGTGAAGGTTTATACCTGCCTGATTGGTGAGTTCCTTTTTGTTTAGAAATACACTTTGTTCTCAAAAATTATCACAAATTTTTTCTGTTTGTTTTCTAAGTTGCATGCAGGTAGACTATTTAATTATTACCTGACATTAGAATACAGTTATTATTTTGGATGTTATTTTATGATAAAGTAAAGAAGACCAAATACAAACATAACTTTTTTTTACCTGTCAAACCTTTTAAAAATACTTCTTTGTCCCTTGTTTTTATAATTATTTACTACTTTATGTTGATTTTTTACATAAAATAAATTTTTGCATGGGGTCTGAACATACCAAAAAGGTGGGGATGTGCATTGTCGTAAAGTGGGACCTGCATCAACTCCCCGCTGTTTGGAGTTGATGCAGACATCCATGGCTCCATTTCTTAATTACTTTGGAAGGCATTAAAAATATTTAGCACAGAGAGGCTAACATTTTGTTGGTATTTGATATTGTTACATCCATCAACAATATCAATATGTTAAATTCACGATGTGTACGTATATGGCTTGATAATCTAACGCCGGAAAAAATTTTTTCCTACCAAAATCCAGTTCAAATTTTTTTTTATATTTTTTTTTTTCAGTTTCTTAAAAAAAAAAATAATGACATAATTGCTTTCAAGAACTTGTTTTTATTTCAATCAAAATTCAATCTATGATACAAGCTGAAAAGATAACACACTAAATGTTTGCAGCTATTGGTATTTACACAATGAGCTATATCAATTAAGAGTATAAATCTAAGAACAAAAAGTGATTAGTGAATATTTTATCTTCATTGACAAAAAATATGTCCATCAAATTTATCAATTAATCACCAAGCCCTAAAATGCTTATTTAGAACTGTCACTACTTCAATATATACTTTTCTTAGGCTCTAGTGGCCTTTTTTGAAAGTAGGCAAACAGAAAATGGGATTAGTGAGAGGGGAAAGAAATATGGCAGAGATTAAACGGCCAGGACTTGGTGTCAAGGCCTCTGTTCACGGGTCTCACACCCAACTTCTGCACCACCGCCATGCACACGCAAATTGTTTCACTATCTCATAAATATTTTGTCATTCTTTATTAAAAAAAAGGAAGTACTGAAACAGAGATCTGCTTATGGAGAAGGACATCCATCCATTTTCTTTACACGCTTGTCCCAATTGGGGTCGCGAGGGGTGCTGGTGCCTATCTCCAGCAGTCAATGGGCGAGAGGCGGGGTACACCCTGGACAGGTTGCCAGTCCATCGCAGGGCAACACAGAGACACACAGGACAAACAACCATTCACACACACACTCACACCTAAGGACAATTTAGAGAAGCCAATTAACCTAACAGTCATGTTTTTGGACCGTGGGTGGAAGCCGGAGTACCCGGAGAGAACCCACGCATGCCCAGGGAGAACATGCAAACTCCATGCAGAAAGACCCTGGGCCAGGAATTGCACCCAGAACCTTCTTGCTGCAAGGCAGCAGTGCTAACCACTGCGCCACTGAGCAGCCAAGAGAAGGATAGCTTTCCTTTAATGCTCAATTTAAGGCAGCAGATAGTAATTTTTGAATGTTTGATTTTGCTTAGAACAGACAAATAAGAAAAAGAAATATATTTAAAAAAAAAACGCAAAGTTACTGTTTTAATTTAGAGCAGGCATCCCCAAACTCGGTCCTCAAGGCCCCCTGTCCTGCAGGTTTTAGAGGTTTCTCTGCTTCAGCACAGCTGGTTATAACGATTGCAGTAGACCAAAAGCCTGTTAATCAGCTTTCAATTAAAATCAGCTGTGCTGGAGCAGGGAAACCTCTAAAACCTGCAGGACAGGGGGCCTTGAGGACCGAGTTTGGGGATGCCTGATTTAGAGGAAACTCTCTGTCATCTTGGTCAGGCAGGAATTGAATCCTCCCTAGAAGCTTAGAAAATTATTTATAAATTGTTGTTTTTAAAGAACTTTAATATTTATATTAGAGAAATCAAACAACCTCTCCACAGATGCACGGCTCAATACAGGTGGGATACATCCTCCGACAAGACTCTGCTGTCCCCCTACACCTCAACGTCAAAAGTCATTCTGTAGTGGACCAGAATGTTCACATTGTGGACAAAGAAGACAGGTGGTTTGAAAGGGGTGTGAAGGAAGTCAATTTATGTTGACAAAAAAAAAAAAAAAAAAAAAAAAAAACAAACAGTGGAGGGGTCAGGTTTCAGCTCTCGAAAACCTACAATGCAGTGATAGTTGATTCCTTCCCAGTGTTATTTCAAACCCAATGGCGATGCAGGGTACTAAAACATCTAACCTGGTCAGCCAGGCCAACAATGACCCTAACGACTCCCTTTTCAGAGGCATGGGCCAATATCGGTTTTGCAGGCCAACAGCGAACTCAACGACTCCCCATTAGTAAGGGGTGGAAAAGTGTTTTTGTTTAAAATTGCATGTTTTCTAAGCCATAACGAGGACTAAGTTAAGTATCTCTTAAATTTACATTGAGCCAGATTGTCTAACTAGTAGTTACCTTTTTTCCGTGCTGTAGTCTTATGGTTGGAACATGCTGTTGAAACTGTACAAGCCTTTTACTTGCCATATAACCAGACACTGTTGGAACGGCTCGTCCCGTACCAGATAACTGTGGTGAATATGAAAAGGACGAGTCATTTTCCTGCTGGCAGGGATTAGTCAAAAGATCTGCGAAGAATATTAGTAGAGAAAAGACCTTTTCACATATTTTTTAGTCACAAAAAAATCTTCACATTTTCATTTCTGCCGTTGGTAAAAAGGAAAATGTGATTTTTGTCACAAGATGCTTTTAATAGAACAAAAATGCATAAATGTAAATTAGCTGATAAATTCATATCTGCCTGCTCTTCTTGCTTCTGATCTCGCAAATGTGCCTGATTACCTCATGTAATATATCTTTCATGATCCTTTTCATTTCAATAAAATTTTAAGTATCCAAATTTTAAACTTGCCGAGCAGTCATTGTTCAGACCCTTGAACAACCTTGTGTTGAAACACACACATGCAGCAACACATAGACTCTAGACTCTGTTAAAACAATCAGGACCACTGACTAACAATATTCCAACATATCATGGCTTTTCAAGCACTTTCCACCATATTTTTGGAGTAGATTCCCTTGACAGCAGTGTCTAAGCTGTAAAACATCTCTTTATAGAAACCATTGATATCAGTTAACATTGGACTCCCTCTGCTAGTGGAAGTCTGGGAGTTGAAATTGATTGTGTAATACATTGAAATTGTCTTCTTGTTATGTTGCAATAGCAACATGTTTTAAGGTTGCCTCTGGTATCAGGAGCAGCTGAACATTGGCTTGCTTGGTGAAGTGGCTCTTTGTTTATGTCCCATCTTCCCTGACTTATTCCTTCTTGTCTCTCCTTGCTTTACTCTTCACCTACAATCACCTCTTTTGTTTATTCATATGCTGTTTCTGAGCTCCTATTTTCTCCTTTATTGGTTTTGATTTGCTTTTATCATTTCTTACCACTAGCACTGCCCAGGCTTTCTGCCTATCAGATGAACCCAGAGCAGTCAAGGAGTACCGGTACCCAGAGAAACTGCCAGGCGAAATGTACGACGCAGACACACAGTGCAAATGGCAGTTTGGAGAGAAGGCCAAACTCTGCACCCTTGATTTCAAGAAGGTAAAATACATTTGGTGTGCACATTGTGTTTTTATAAAAAAAAAAAAAAAAAAAAAAAGCTCAAAAACATAAGTTGATCTATTCTTTTTCAGCACTTTCCAAGTATGTAACATGTATTTAAAAACTCATACATAAGGGGGGATGGGATGAATTAGGCGGATAAAAACGGAGATAAAAAGGAGATGAAAGACAAGGAAAAACTGCTCATAATTATGTATCCTCTTAGCTATAAACACTTGCGTTTTGGCTTTAATATCTCAATCATACACAGTAACCCCTCCAACACACAGACACACAATACAAACAGTAAGATGCTCTGTGGGAAAGATGACTAAATATACTTTGGATCATTGCCAGTGGGTCTCTCTTCTCATCGCTCTCTCGTTGTGCTGCTTCTGCTACTGGTTATCTTACTCTTGTTCACATTGTAGAAATCATGTATTTTGGATTTATATTCTCGTTATTCACTATAGAATACCTAGTTGTGGCATTCTTCTGGTTCTGTGTGAAAAACAATTTAAGGTACGGTTAATATTCAGAGAAAGGTGTAGGGGGATGATTGTTACTAGCCAAACACTGATGTTGATCTTCTCTGAAAGGACTACCAACCGAGTGCTGAATAATCATCAATGATTGTTGTAAATCACATTGTGACCTTTAGAATCAAGAATCGGGCTCAATCTGTCTGAGAAGCCAAAATAAAACATATGATCCCCAAAGCAAACACGCATTGCCATGCTTCAAAACGTTTTGTCGGAAACAAAGTCATTGGCATTCTGCAGTCTGGAAATGCTCACAAAATTCTTTTCAAGGCCATCACTCAATTATTGAAGACATGAAATAGTGCTGACCCTCTTCAGGACTAACTGGTAGACTTAAATGACCCTTATAGTGCATTGACGACTCATCCAGGGCTCAACCATATCTGAAGCACTGTCAGACCCACCTGCTTTTGTGAGAATCAATATTTGTTGTCCATAAATGACAACAAATATTATATTTGTGCATCATGTTAAAAAGATAAAACATTTTGGAAAAATTACATCATATTTTAAAGCCAGGCATGTGTACCCTCTGACATATCCAAACACAGACTCTTTCTATATCTGTAAGCAACTTGTTTTGAAGTGCTTTATTCACAGGCTCATCAACAGATGGCTGCTTGATGTTAAAATCTAATGTATAACTCTTAAATTGCAAGATGAATATTCACCCCATAGTGCTACATGGTAGCTGTAGTGTGTAGTTTTTTTTTAACTGGTGAGACTTTTGTTTTTGCTCTTAACAACCAGATATGCTAAACCTTCACCCAGGTACGACGGGGAAAGACATGAACATCCTTATTTTCTTATCCTTATTGCAAAAGGAATCACAAAACTGTCTGCAGCCAGACACCTCATCGCCTCTTCTGGCTGTTTCACCCAAGAAGTGATTACACCGTAATAACAACATCCACCAAAGGGATGCCTCTCAAACAGAACTAGACTTTACCATTTTAAATGAGGCAGAGAAGTGGTTACAGAGATCAGCTCTGAGGCTCATGCTAGATAACAATTATAAACAATATTAACAACAATTATATATTATAAACAGTTGCCCCCCACCCCCACCCAAAAAAGCAAATCTCTATATTCATACTGTAGCAACTCTTCGTTTATCTTAGCATTCATTATATATTTGATACGTTTTAGACCTGATCTTGAACTTGTACATTTTTTTTCCCTTTCACACCTCTGCTTGGTTCTATTACTTCCTTATTAGCTTGTTGCACGTTTGCGGACAATCGGAGCAAAAACAAAGTACAAAACTTAGAACTTAGAATTAAAATATAATAGGCCAAAAGGGTGTTATTATCTGGAAATTTTTTGTAAGCAATCGGGGTGAGTTACTGGTGTGGAAATGAGCCTCAGAATTTAGTGTTTTTGTACACCTAAATGCACACCCAGAATTATAAATTAAGATCTCCTAAAAATATTTATTGCAGACACCTCCTCTGGATAGATGTTTTAATTTATTCCATAGGCTGTTGAACTGAAAAACGTGAAAAGTACTAAAAAATACCAAAGTAATTGTACGTCCTTTTTTCCTGTCACATAATATAAACAAAATAAACAAAAGTGCAGTTATTGTGTAAAGAAGGAAACTACCCTAGCAAAAAGTGCAGTTGGCTGTCTTGTCTTTTTCTCTCACGTTCTGTCATATTTAGACTATGATCTTTTCCTGCCTTTGTCTGTCTAATCATTCAATCACTGGACCTGTCCACAAGGTTTACAGCCTGAAAACTCCTGAGCATGCAGAACAGCTGGACAAATATGCCTTGGGATGAATTCCATGGTGGCTCTTGGCAGCAATATTTTAAGGTTGAGGCGCTTGTCAGCATCTGTAGCGTGCTGTCAAAATCTGATATAGTCATTCAGACAGTAACAATGTGGACATGTTAAAAAGTAGCAGGCTTTGTTTCTCAGGCAATATTAGCAGTGATCCCATAGGAATCCTTTAAACAATGCAGAGCCATGATGTCATGGAGACTTTGTAGGAGCACTGCTTCTTGTTATTTTCATCTTTGGAGCTTTATTCATTCATTTATTTTTGTCTTGGAATCAGATTTTTGGTTAATAGGGATCATGTTTATGTAGCATGAGTAAGCTTGTCAAACCCTGACCAGCAAAAAGTCAGTCTGTGCCAAATTTGAAAACAAAATAGTGGAATTTTTAATTTTCTTTTTCATTGAGGGATCTCTGTTTCACACTATTTAAAATGACAAGGACATCTTTGTAGATTAATCAGGATTAAGATTCTATCAATGAGAACACTAAAACAAAAAAGTAATACAATTTTTATAATTTACAAAGTAAAACACTAATTTTATTATCAGCTGAGCCTGGACATATTTGCTAATAGAAATTTAAGAATCTGAAAAAATGAACAACAAAATCTAAAAAACAAAAAAAATAACTTAAAATGGGCAAGTTTTTGATCAAGGAATTGAACTGACGTAATTGTTTTCTTAAATTTCATGTTAAAAAAAACAGTAGGTATTCAAAATCTCTTGAGTGACCCTTAATTATTCAGCTTTAACACCAGGACCACCACAAGATAACAGGAAACGTTCCTTCTGTAGTCCATTATTAGGCCGCTGGCTCAGTCACAGAACCTGGCTTACCTCAGCAAGTACATGATTGGGACATTCTCAGCTCTGTGCTTGGCTGATGAAGATATCTTAGATCGAGTAAGGAGTCTGAGAATGGAAGCTCTTCTTTTTAGTCTAGCTCACTGTTTGCCATTGTGACTCATTATTTTTGATTAAATACTGGGTGACAAACATGAACTGAATATATCTATGATATGAAAGTAAAACTGAAACTCTACAGTGCTTTACACAAAAATAGAAAAACTTTTCACTTCAATTTTTTTTTCCTGGATTTTTGGATTTATGAATTATTAAGATCAATTATAGGGGAGAGTTTGACATTTATTGAGAGGCTTTAAAACTAAACTTGCTTTGAGCATGACACTTCATAGTCATAAAACCGTGATATTTTGGAGTATGTGGGCAATAAGAATCCAACACAACCTCTAAAAAGTACAGGTGCTGGTCATAAAATTAGAATATCATGAAAAAGTAGATTGATTTCAGTAATTCCATTTAAAAAGTGAAACTTGTATATTATATTCATACATTACATACAAACTCATATATTTCAGATGTTTATTTTGTTTAATTTTGATGATTACAAATGACAACAAATGAAAATCTCAAATTCATCATATCAGAAAATTAGAATATTGTGAAAAGGTTCAAAATTGATGGCCCCTGGTGCCACACTCTAATCAGCTAATTAACTCAAACCACCTGCAAAAGCCTTTAAATGGTCTTTCAGTCTAGTTCTATAGGCTACACAATCATGGGGAAGACTGCTGACTTGACAGTTGTCCAAAAGACGACCATCGACACCTTGCACAAGGAGGGCAAGACACAAAAGGTCATCGCTAAAGAGGCTGGCTGTTCACAGAGCTCAGTGTCCAAGCACATTAATAGAGAGGCGAAGGGAAGGAAAAGATGTGGTCGAAAAAAGTGTACAAGCAAGAGAGATAACCGCACCCTGGAGAGGATTGTGAAACAAAACCCCTTCAAAAATGTGGGGGAGATTCACAAAGAGTGGACTGCAGCTGGAGTGAGTGCTTCAAGATAGGGCTGCAACAACGAATCGATAAAATCGATAAAAATCGACTTTTAAAAGCGTTGGCAACGAATTTCATCATCGATTAGTTGTGTCGCGCGATTATTGCGTCATCCGCCGCGCCGTCATCACTGCCTCTTGACTGAAAGAGGAAGAAAAAAAAAAAAGGCAGAGCGAGTCAGCGCCGCAGGTGCAGTGTTGCCAACTCAGCGACTTTTCAGACCCCTCCAGTGACTTTTTTTTTTAAAAAGCGTTCTAGCGACAAATCTGGCGACTTTTTTCGGTGTCACTGGCGGCTTTTGGAGACTCTTACGTGAAAGCATGTATCGTTCCTACTCTGCCGTGGGGCGCCTCCCCCACCCCAACCCCGTTTTCCCGCAGGAGTCCCTCTCAGCGCTGCAGTCAGCCTCAGCGTCCAGACTGCAAATGAAGCGCGCATGCACCGGGATTGAGGGCGCAAATTGATCACAATAATTAAAATAGCCTGCGCTTTGTAAAGCGAAAAAAGTGATAACATGCAACTTTTTTCAAAAGAAATTAACATGGCACGGAACCACCATGTTTGTTTGGTTTTAAAGTGGGGAAACGTAACGTTAGTTTCTCAGGTAGCTCATCTGATGCTTTCCTTACCGTGTTAGTAGGTTACAGACAGTGATAAGGTTGGCTACTTATTTTACCTTTAATTTCATTTGAATTAGCTTAAGCAGCGTTTATATTTTCTTTATAAATAAATTAACTTGCAAATTATGAGGGCAAGGCTTTTAAAGTTTAAATCTTCTGGCAAAGTTAAAGTAAAGAAGATCCTGCAATTTATGGAAGTAAAGCAGAATAAAATCCAGCAAGATCAGTAATATGTCAATTAATTATCTGCCACATTCCCATGTAAATATCTGTCTTTGGAGGATGTGTTTTTTAGCACCCCTAGTTCTCTCATTTTTATTCCAAATACAATTTATAATTTGAATCACAGGGCTATTTTTATCTCTATGATTCAGTATTTTCTCAAGCAGCAACTTTAACAGCTATACTTTCCTGTCTTAAAAGGCAGAACTCTTCTAGTCTAAAAAAACTAATTTGTTGAAATGGGGGGGCCTATTGTTTGAACCCCTTAGGGGCTTTAAAAAACAAAAATGTCTTTTTTGCGCTTTATGAAACAAAGTACCCTATATTTTGTGGATGTACAGCTACATTTCTCATGTAAGTTTGCGTAGTTTTAACACAAACATTTATTTTTCATATTGCACCAGTACAGTTAATGAGCAACCTGTACTTGTGTGCTTGTTTGTTCTGTCTAAAATGTTTATTTTGGAATAAAGAGGTTAATAAAAAAAATATTTTTTGTCCGATTCATCGATTAATCGAAAAAATAATCGTCCGATTCATCGATTTTTAAAATAATCGTTAGTTGCAGCCCTACTTCAAGAACCACCACACACAGACGTATGAAAGACATGGGTTTCTGCTGTCGCATTCCTTGTGTCAAGCCACTCTTGAACCACAGACAGCGTCAGAAGCGTCTTGCCTGGGCTAAAGAGAAACAGGACTGGACTGCTGGTGAGTGGTCCAAAGTCATGTTCTCTGATGAAAGTCAATTTTGCATTTCCTTTGGAAATCAAGGTCCCAGAGTCTGGAGGAAAAGAAGAGAGGCACTTCATCCACGTTGCTTGAAGTCCAGTGTAAAGTTTCCACAGTCAGTGATGGTTTGGGGTGCCATGTCATCTGCTGGTGTTGGTCCATTGTGTTTTCTGAGGTCCAGGGTCAACGCAGCCACATACCAGGAAGTTTTAGAGCACTTCATGCTTCCTGCAGCTGACCAACTTTTTGGAGATGCAGATTTCATTTTCCAACAGGACTTGGCACCTGCACACAGTGCCAAAGCTACCAGTACCTGGTTGAAGGACCATGGTATCCCTGTTCTTAATTGGCCAGCAAACTCTCCTGACCTTAACCCCATAGAAAATCTATGGGGTATTGTGAAGAAGAAGATGCAATACACCAGACCCAACAATTCAGAAGAGCTAAAAGCCACTATTACAGCAACCTGGGCTATCATAACACCTGAGCAGTGCCACAGACTGATCGACTCCATGCCACGCCGCATTGCTGCAGTAATACAGGCCAAAGGAGGCCCAACTAAATACTGAGTGCTTTACATGCTCATACTTTTCATGTTCATACTTTTCAGTTGGCCAACATTTCTATAAATCCTTTGTTTTTATTGGTCTTCAGTAATATTCTAATTTTCTGATATGATGAATTTGAGATTTTCATTTGTTGTCATTTGTAATCATCAAAATTAAACAAAATAAACATCTGAAATATATGAGTTTGTATGTAATGTATGAATATAATATACAAGTTTCACTTTTTAAATGGAATTACTGAAATCAATCTACTTTTTCATGATATTCTAATTTTATGACCAGCACCTGTATTTGAATTGCATTTTGTTCCCAGAGCTCAAACACTGTGTGCAGAATTATTAGGCAAGTTGTATTTTTGAGGATTATACTTATTATTGGAACACAATTGTTTTCTCAATCAACCCAAATGACTACTTAATATTGAAGCTTAAAATTTTGGGGAGTTGATGGTTTTTTTGTTGTTGTTTTTTTGTGTGTTTTTTTTAGATTTGGCCATTTTATGAGAATATCTGTGTGCGCAGAATTATTAGGCAACGTAATAAAAAAACAAATATATACCCATCTCACTTGTTTATTTTACAATATTTAACCAATATAACAACTCAAAATTCAGAAAAAAACATTTGCGACATTTGAAAACAAAAACACAAACAAAAAACTTAGATTAGCAATTTCAAAACTACTGCACCCCTCTGAAAGACATCTTACAATTCTTGACTTTTCAGATTCTATCAAATCTCTTTTCTTGCCAAAGGAAAGGATGTTGCCTAATAATTAAGCACATCTTATACAGGGTGTTGATGTCATTAGGCCACACCCCTTCTAATTAGAGAGATGCACCCCACCTGATTTACTTAATTGGTAGTTGGTTTTCAAGCCTATACAGCTTGGAGTAGGACAACATGTATGAAAAGGATGATGTGGTCGAAATACTCATTTGCCTAATAATTCTGCACACAAAAAAGTTCTTGTAGGTGAAAGGTCATTTTTCAAGCCTCCACATGCACTACACAGCTGCTATTATTACTAGAAATATTTAAAGAAACATTATTGAAAGGCATGGCTTTCAAATTCTAACAGATTCACACAATCCGTTTTAGAAAGTACTCATCAGCACACCTTCAAAGTGCTTAGGGACAAAAAAGCAGCGTAATGACTTGTAAGTCCTCCAGGTGCTAGATTTTTTTTAAGGCTGCTGTAAAGTAGGATCCCAGACGTCCAATCTCTTTTCTTCTTTCTGATGTTTCAGGATATCTGCAAGGCTCTGTGGTGCCACCGTGCTGGGAGGAAGTGTGAAACCAAATTCATGCCAGCTGCTGAGGGCTCTGCCTGTGGCCCCAATATGGTGACTGATCATGTGTTGTGTGTGATCATATTTGGAGGATGCAATACACTTTAAAGGCCTTTTCACCAGAAAAATATCACATGAGCACAAAAGGAGGCATTTTTCATCCGCTTATCTTGAAGTATCACAGACAAAAAACATCCCTGTGCTATTGAATCAAGTCACTGATTTTGTCTTTTTTTTTTTTCCTTTTGTCCATCACTCCCTGGCAACATCTTTATAAAAAAAAAATCGGCCAACAAAAGGAAGAAAACAAGAGCCTCTAAGACACATTTCCTTGTGGTTTGGGTAAAGAAATAAGTAATCCAACAGCAAAAATCAATCAAATGAGAACATAAAAAGTGACATTTTTACAGTACTTTCAGAAATAATAGACTGGGCTGATGCAGGAGTAAATTCTCCCTTTGAGACAAGAGTTTTTGTTTTGTTTTTGTTTTTTTTCTTTTTTTGTGTGCTGCTAAACATTATGAACTGTGCAGCACTCGGTGGGGGGGGGTTAAGCTTGTAAAAAGTGATGTCTCATACAGAGACAAACACATTCCATCTCCAAAGGATACCACAGACCCCTGAGTCAGTAAATTGCATGAGACAAAAAGCTCCAGTAATTGATGCTGTGACTGCCTTCATACATGCTATAGTAAAAGCTCAAATTTATTGAGCATTTTACGGTTATATGGTGATAATACTTCCACAGAGTTTTGCCATTTAAAAACAAAAGCCTTGAACTTAGTGACACTGCTCTCATGTTCTAGGGAGAACCTTTTAAATTCACCCAGAGGCTGATATCATAGGTTCTAGCATAAAAACCACCTGCACCTTCATTTTTTCCTGAAGGACCAGCTGGTTTGAAGCTGAAGTTGCAGAAATTTTTCGCAGTGTTCTTTGTTTATACTTCGTTTCAATCCCCCCACATAGAACACCAAGGGCCTCCATCCTAACAGCCCATCATCTGTGTTTGGTCATAGTTTTACATTGGAAATTTTAATCCCTCTCTTTCGCCTGAAAATGCAATTAACTGAGCACAAACAATGACAGTTTCCTATAGGAATCCGTGGTACTTAACTGCAAGGAAAAAAAAAAATATGGGGAAAATCAGCAGTTCTAGTGATTAGTGAGACAGATAGCATATTTTAAAGGTTTCTATGTTCACGTTTATCGGTTACTTTAAAAATGTCCATAGCTGTATATTGGTTATTTATTCTCCAGGTACACAGTTTTTATAAAACACTTTATAGTACATTATTTTATTTTTTATCTTTTAACTCTTCACTATTATGTTATTCTTATACATTTTTTAAGGCCTTCTTTCTTTGACTGTTTTATCTATACTTTATTTGCTGTTGTAAAAACCAGAATTTCTGCATTGTGGGACAGTAAAGGGTGTTTCTATTCTTTTTTTATTCTATTCTATTCTATTCTACTTAAGGACGCTCATAACCTAATCATTTACTAATGATTTAAAAACTGTACTATGAATATGCAGTTTTTTGTAATACACATTATACCAAATTGGTATTCCAAATAGCACACTGTAAAAAAATAAAAAAAATTGCCAACTTTGTGGTTTATCAGCTTCCCTTTCTGTTTCCTTGTCTGTCCTCCTCAGTGGTGTCGTAGGGGCCACTGTGTGAAGCAGGGTGATGAGGGCCCCAGGCCTCAGCATGGTCATTGGTCCGAGTGGTCATCATGGTCTAAGTGCTCTCGTAGCTGTGAAAGTGGTGTGACCTATCGAGAGAGGCAGTGCAATAACCCCAGGTAAAACAAATACCAGGTTTTAATTTTTAGTTTAGGCCGGTGCTGTATTCTTATTAACTAAATCACACTGTTGCTCATCCATATGTGTGTCTTCATGAAGATAACATTTTAGTCCCTAATTTATCTGATTTATCTGCTTAAACCATCTTTCATATTCTGGAGATATTTTCATGTATTCTCATCAATTCACTGTTAGGAAATTACAGGCTATGTTTCTATTTCTTCTGTCAAAGAGTGTTTGGTTCATATAGCAGATGCAGGAGCATCAATATATGGCCTAAACTTTGTTTGCAAGCATGAAATGCAGCCCTGAAAAAGCTGTAATGGGAAAGTTACAGTCTGAATTCACAGATGCAGAATACCAGAAACTAAAGGTTTTGCAAGTGTGGTCGGAAAAATCAGTTTCCCATCACATCCCTCCTAATATTAATATCAGTGCTGATATATTTACTTATAAAAAGTATTCACTCAAGCAGAGACCTGCAAGGCTGAATATGGGTGTTATCTTACTGATGCCTCAGAAGCTGTTTTCCAGTTTTAGAGGTTTTGGTAAGAGGCTAGAATCTTTAGACTTAAGGTTATTTAAAAAAAAATCCTCCTGTTTGTGGAAACTATCTACTTTATCTGTGAGAGTCTCTTAATGTATTTCTTAAATCGTTATTAAAATCCTGTGTGACCAGAACAGGCATAAACATTGGGAAGACTCTATCTGTTCCCCTGTCGAGGATTAATAAATGCTGGCTTGAATGCCAGATTTCAATTACTTGTTAAATAAGACAGACATTTTTTCCATCAACACAATTAATGGTAACCAAATGCTACAGTCCTCAACAAATACCATAGTAATAACCCCATTAAAGACAACATTATGCAGATGTTCTGTCTGCACTAATGAAGACTTATTCACCTCAAAATGCTATTTGATGTAGCTGAAATAACTTTGAACACACCCCTGTACTCTGTGTAATAAAACTACAACTTACTTGACCACTTGGGATAACTAAGCATATGTATACTTCTGTACTTTCAACCCAGATTTAAGCATTTTTTTTCAAAAGAAAAGAAAATCTGAGACTGTTGTTATGGTAAAATCAACTTACTTATTAAGACAATCAATTTTAATCGACAGGGCTTCATATACTTCCCATCCATCACAGGACATTTAAAAAAGATATATCATTTTATAATGTATATTATAAAATGTTCTTAATTACTGTATGTTTAAACTAATTTTAATGTTTTTTCTAGTTATATAGGCATATATTGATATATTAAAGGGTTGTTCAGAGCAGGCGTAATTGCAGGGTTGATATAAAATTGTATTTATAGTGCACAAGCCTACTGGACAAAAGCTTGAAAAAAAATGGTATAACATTAAGTATGTCAAGTAGAAACAAGTGTTTTTAAACATAACAGTTTTTAGGTGTTAGGTTTAAGGTTATGGTTTTGAGGAAGTATTCAGACATATGTTAACAGAAATGAAACCTTAGGTGGCAGTAGCGAATAATAGAAGGGTGTTTTGGCAGTGTTTGCATAGAGGGTTAGAGCAGTGTGCTTGTGCTCTTAGAAGCTTGCCAAGTTCGATCCCTGCAGCCTCCACTCTGTGTTCCTGAGCAAGACCCTTAACCCCACACTACTCCCCGGGCGCCACACAATAGCAGCCCACTGCTCCCCAAGGGGATGGGTTAAATGCAGAGATGGAATTACGCTCATTGTGGGACAATAAAGGGATTCACATTTTTGAGGGTTGTCTAGCCTAGAGTGCTCCCCTGGGGTCAGCTAAACTAGCTGCTCTTTGTACATGATTTCAAGTTTTCGAAACTTTTTTTTCATATTTGACTCTATTGCACCCAAATTAAGGTGTTACTTATTTGTCTTTTGTCCGAACCTAGAAAAGGCTAAATTAAAGCTTAAAACAAGGTAAGCAAGCTCATATTTGATGCTAGATAATAGAGGTGCATGGGATATTTAATGAGGCTTCCTCTGGTGACTGGCCAAAGGAGAATTATTTATGTCTGGTTAAATAATTTTATCTAATCTTACCTTATTCAAGTGATAAATCTAAGGAGGTTTACTAAGTAGTAATAAAATAACAAAGTTTTAATATAAAGTTTACTTCTAGAATTAAATATCACTCTTTGGCCAAGTTTCCTGCATCTGGATGTCTCCTTGTTACTGAAATAGTAGACATAGTCATGTGTGTTGCTTCATAATTATAGGTTCATCCATTACCTTCTTCATCAACTACAAAAATAATTGAAAGGGCGGTAAGTGAACCCACTCACAAATATTAGGACCCCCTCTTTATTAGTCCCTATGTTTGTTAAGAAAATGTGGCAAAGGAGCAAAAGGACAGACGGCAGAAGAAAGATAGACGGAGAGAAAAGAAATTTAGCGGAGGTGAGATTTTAAAAAAATTAATGAAGAATGTTGAGAAATAAAATTATATATTTTGCGATTAAGGTATAGATAAGTGAAAATATGATCTGTTAGGTTGATAGAGAGTGCAATTGTACCTTCGAAGGGAATTTTGGAAAAGCAGCCCCAGGATATACACCTGTGATAGAGGCCTCAACAAAGCACTCTCACACACAGATGGAGATACACGCATGTACTAGTCACAACAGGACAATGAGGTCCATTGTGGTTTGTAACATTCTTCACTTTACATTTTTGCATAATCTAGCGCATCAGAAGAATCCTAAAGATTTTCTTTTTCAGGACTGTTCCAAGCATGTGAGTCGAAACGGTGTACACCATATGTTTTCACCTATTTTTTACAGACCTACGAATGGTGGGAAGTTCTGTGATGGCTCTTCTAGATCATACAAGCTTTGTAACACTGTGGATTGTCCCCCCAACACTACTGATTACAGAGCACAACAGTGTGCTGAGTTTAACAGTAAACAGTTTAGAGGATGGTACTATACCTGGAGACCTTACACTAGAGTGGATGGTGAGAAATTCTTACCTACTTTCTCTTTTATAACATAAGAGAACATTAGATTTGGCAATTAACTGAGACATTTGCTTATATTTGCTGTGGGTATTCTTTTCTAGATCAAGATGTCTGCAAGCTTTACTGCCTTGCTGAAGGATATGATTTCTTCTTTGCCCTGGCCAGCAAAGTTAGGGATGGGACACTTTGCTCGAAGGATAGTTCCAATGTCTGTATTGATGGACTCTGTGAGGTAATCTTCCTTAATTTTCCAAAACAAATCAAAGTTTTACGGTTGGTTTATGTCTATTTAAAGTGTGAGCTCAACAGTGAGGTCTTTTAGTCTGAGTTGTAAATTTTGTGAAAGGATTAAGCAGTAGGTGGTGCCCCTGTCTCACAGCTACTTTCATGTTTATGAACATAAAATGTTGACCTGTCACCAGCTCAGGAATATATGTAGTCATTTTAAACTGCTTTCATATTTCATGCAATATAATAGTTTATGTACTTAATCTCACTCGCCTTAAAAAAGTATATATATATATATATATATATTTATATATGCATGTTTTTTTTTTCCCGTAGAGAGTGGGGTGTGACCGCGTTTTGGGTTCAGCAGCTGTGCCTGATGCTTGTGGTGTGTGTAAAGGAGACAACTCCACCTGCAAGATCTATAAAGGACAGTACACAAAGCAGCATTATACCAACCGTAGGTGATCTCAACGAACTGTTCCAATGACTACAGTTGGTGCTTTTATTTAAAAAAATTAAATACCACAAATATAAATAAACTCTTCAGAAAGTTCAAAATTTTCATTTCAGGCATCAAACATTTGTTTTAACAGCTAAATGGAAGCTAAACTGGAGTTTCAAAAGATATTCATATTTCATAATATTATTACATTGTTAGTTTAGCGGAGTGTATTGTGTTAATATATTTTTTCATAGGCTTTCTAAACATTTTTGACTGTGCTGTTCCTCTGTGCCACTACAGGTGCTGGTCATAAAATTAGAATATCATGAAAAAGTAGATTGATTTCAGTAATTCCATTTAAAAAGTGAAACTTGTATATTATATTCATACATTACATACAAACTCGTATATTTCAGATGTTTATTTTGTTTAATTTTGATGATTACAAATGACAACAAATGAAAATCTCAAATTCATCATATCAGAAAATTAGAATATTACTGAAGACCAATAAAAACAAAGGATTTATAGAAATGTTGGCCAACTGAAAAGTATGAACATGAAAAGTATGAGCATGTACAGCACTCAGTATTTAGTTGGGCCTCCTTTGGCCTGTATTACTGCAGCAATGCGGCATGGCATGGAGTCGATCAGTCTGTGGCACTGCTCAGGTGTTATGATAGCCCAGGTTGCTCTAATAGTGGCTTTTAGCTCTTCTGAATTGTTGGGTCTGGTGTATTGCATCTTCTTCTTCACAATACCCCATAGATTTTCTATGGGGTTAAGGTCAGGAGAGTTTGCTGGCCAATTAAGAACAGGGATACCATGGTCCTTCAACCAGGTACTGGTAGCTTTGGCACTGTGTGCAGGTGCCAAGTCCTGTTGGAAAATGAAATCTGCATCTCCAAAAAGTTGGTCAGCTGCAGGAAGCATGAAGTGCTCTAAAACTTCCTGGTATGTGGCTGCGTTGACCCTGGACCTCAGAAAACACAATGGACCAACACCAGCAGATGACATGGCACCCCAAACCATCACTGACTGTGGAAACTTTACACTGGACTTCAAGCAACGTGGATGAAGTGCCTCTCTTCTTTTCCTCCAGACTCTGGGACCTTGATTTCCAAAGGAAATGCAAAATTTACTTTCATCAGAGAACATGACTTTGGACCACTCACCAGCAGTCCAGTCCTGTTTCTCTTTAGCCCAGGCAAGACGCTTCTGACGCTGTCTGTGGTTCAAGAGTGGCTTGACACAAGGAATGCGACAGCAGAAACCCATGTCTTTCATACGTCTGTGTGTGGTGGTTCTTGAAGCACTCACTCCAGCTGCAGTCCACTCTTTGTGAATCTCCCCCACATTTTTGAATGGGTTTTGTTTCACAATCCTCTCCAGGGTGCGGTTATCTCTCTTGCTTGTACACTTTTTTCGACCACATCTTTTCCTTCCCTTCGCCTCTCTATTAATGTGCTTGGACACTGAGCTCTGTGAACAGCCAGCCTCTTTAGCGATGACCTTTTGTGTCTTGCCCTCCTTGTGCAAGGTGTCGATGGTCGTCTTTTGGACAACTGTCAAGTCAGCAGTCTTCCCCATGATTGTGTAGCCTATAGAACTAGACTGAAAGACCATTTAAAGGCTTTTGCAGGTGGTTTGAGTTAATTAGCTGATTAGAGTGTGGCACCAGGGGCCATCAATTTTGAACCTTTTCACAATATTCTAATTTTCTGATATGATGAATTTGAGATTTTCATTTGTTGTCATTTGTAATCATCAAAATTAAACAAAATAAACATCTGAAATATATGAGTTTGTATGTAATGTATGAATATAATATACAAGTTTCACTTTTTAAATGGAATTACTGAAATCAATCTACTTTTTCATGATATTCTAATTTTATGACCAGCACCTGTATATATGATTAATATGATTTCCTGTTTAAAAAAAAAAAAACATATGTGGTTAGACTGAATCAAAAAGTCTTTATTGCCAAGCAGTTTTTTTAGTCTTTAATGCCACACAGACAAGCAAATATAGTTAATATAACAAATGTTCATAATAACATGCACTGTTGAAGCATTACATTTGGCTGTTGACAAATTTAGAGTCAACGTTAAAAAGATAAATATTAACGGAAATATTTATTTTTAATGAAATGTCATATGTTGGGAGATTCTAGTTCTCTCTTTGTGAGAGAAACCTGTATTATAAATGGAAATGGAAAGCAGTTGCTGTTATAGTAACATAGTGACACCCCATGTCATGTCAAACTGTGCCACAGAGCAAAAGCAATCCACATCAAATGTTTGCCTATTTAAAAAAAATATATTTATACAATCAGATAAAGAGATCCCTTCCCTTTTGGGATTAATTACTTTTTTCTCTCTTTCCTTACTAGTAGTCTCTGTCTATTTGAAGAAGATGCAGCACACCAGCCTTTTGTGTTGCTTTTTCAAGTTTTTGTTTAAAGTTAGCCTTCTGTTTCATTAGAGTACTATGGGGTCGTAACCATCCCTGCAGGAGCTCGGAGCATCCGTGTCATGGAACTAAATACCTCCAGCTCCTACCTGGCTGTCAGGGACACTGAGAGACACTACTACCTTAATGGCCGTTGGACGGTGGATTGGCCAGGGCGTCACTCCATTGCTGGAACAGTTTTTGAATATAAGAGACCATATAACAGACCAGAAAGTCTCATATCAACTGGAACTACAAATAAGACACTAGTGATAGAGGTGAGGACATTAATTACTAAGGAAATGTTGTTTTGATGATTGACTGCTAACAGCTTACTCCTCTTTTAGGTGTTGTTACAGGGCTGGAATCCTGGCATTCATTGGGAGTATTCTCTGAAGAAAACTGATGAAAAGATGAATAGGAACCAAATTAAACATAGTTATACTTGGGCTATCATACGCTCTCAATGCTCAACAACTTGTGCTGGAGGTAAATTTTGTTTTTGTTTGCCAAGTTGGATATAGTTGCATTTAAAAGCTGTTTATTCTAACCTTGATCTTTGCTGGATTAAAAAAAAAACTAAAATAAGAGGATGGTTTGGGCAGGATTTGAACTGTCTAGCCTGACCAACCTGTAATAAGGTTGGTCAGGCTAGGTCTCCATTTAGCTTCAGGTTAAATGGAGAGTAGAGTGCCCCCATCATTATTGATGAGAAACTAAAGGCTGGGACCACTCAAGTGGAGACCCTCTATTAGACAAACACAAAAAGCAAGCACGTACATGCCTGTATCTCTACCGTCGCTGGACTTTGATCCATTAAAGCATGGTATTGTACACAAATACTCAAACACGCTTATAGACACACACGGATGCGGTTGCAGGTAATATGTGGCTGAAGGTTAAGGAACATTGATGAATCTGAGTGTGTCTATTTGGTCCTGTGTGTTTTTTAACTTTTTAACTACACCCATCTGTATATATGTGCACATGCAGTTACTTGGCTCAATTAAGGTGAACAAAGCCCCCAGTGTAGTGTTCCTTCTGGCTGACCCTGAAGGTTAGTGTTCCCATTCTCATCTGTTGCTGTCCACCCCTATCTCCACCTCTTTGTGTCCTGATTGGAGGTTGTGATGGGTTGAGTGGATGGGGGAGGTGTGTGGGGGCTTCTTTATTAGAGGGTGTGACTGACTAACTGACCTATTTGAGTAAAGATGTGCAGAGTGACCTTGCCTTAGGGTGAATAACATCTCATGACTAGAGTACCCGGTCACCTAAAATAAACACTTGACTTTCAGCAGAAGTCAAAGGATGGAGAACGGTGCGTGGTGTTGTTTTAATTAGAATGAAAATGTGTGTTTAATACTAATGAAAAGAGTTACTTTAACAGTGAAAAATACTGTATATACACCGGAAATAATTGTTTATTTTCATGCGTAGCATGAGGCAGTTAAAGAACACATGTTCATTTCTTCTCTACAAATGATGTAAGCTTTTCAGATTGAGACATATTGCTGTTATGTTAAAATATTTAGACTTTTCCACTTATTGCAGCTTGTGTTATTTTGCCATGTTTAGCAATGTAGAGGAAAAATCTAGATCCATTTGCATTTTTCTTTTCATGTCAATTTAACAGCACATGTGAAACTTTTTAGTTCTTTGCTAAGAAATTTTATTTAGTGGTCTATGTCTCCACACAGGACATATGAGCACCAAGTCGGCATGCTACAAAGACATGAGACTTCAGGTGAACGTGTCGTACTGCAATCCCAGAACTAGACCAGCAGCTGGAGTGATACCCTGTAACACACACCCATGTCCTGCAAGGTCAGTTTTGTGTGTTATGGTAATACGGATATTATCTCAGAGAAGTGAATACTCTAAGCCTGTTAAAGTGCTCTTCTACACTTTATGCTATGTTCAGACCACGTGCAATAGAAACGGCAAAAATGCGCCTGCTGCTTAATTTTTTTCTGCTTATACACATTAAGGTCAGACGCGCCTCAAGAGCATACTTGATGCTCCTGAAGCACGTCCAGTAAAGTGTGTTCAGATGCCTCTGATGCTTCTGATGCTCCTGTGTTCAATGACAGAGAGCGGCTTTGCTATTGTTTGTGGCAGCTGGAAGTAGATGTTAGCGATTTTCATGTACATAATCCAAACTGCAGGCACCGGAATGATTAAAGTGAACAGATTTTTTTCAGCAGGTGTCAACATTTCAAGTTAATTTAGGCGTTAATAAACTGTTTCAGTGGAAGCAGCTGTGTCTGTCTCCCTGCCAGCTCCCAGATCAGCTTCTCCGATTGGTTTATGTGGCGCATTGAGCAGCAAAAGTTCAATTTTTTCAACTTGAGCAGCTGCTGTGAAGTGCGTCATGTATGTCAGATGCTCAGAAGCTCACGAGGGGCTGCTCCTGCTGCTCCAAGTGCGCTGCAGGACCTTTTGATGTGTATCAACCATTGATTTTTGCATGTAAACAGGCTGCTTCAGTAGCATGCGGTGTGAGCGTTGCGTTACTCATTTTATATCCACCAATATCATATACAAAGTTCCTGTACAATATATAAGAAACAGATATTAGTATCATGGGATTGTTTGAAAACTCTGATATTAATATTAATAATAATATAGTATTAATATTGTCAAGTTCAACACCTTTCACAAGTAAAGTGCACACATTGCAAATTTAATGCAAACAGAGTAGTCAAGTTTAGTTTATTATTTAAATGGGTTAAAACATTCAAATCTTAGCAAACCCAGCAGATGGCATTGTGTTACTGACTTATAGCATTTACTACTCGTGCAAAAGCATTACTCACAACAGTACACCGTCTCTTCAATTTTGTTGTTGCCTTTAAAGCAATCTCTCATACTGACTGTGCATTCAGGGACAACACAGGACCTCCAGCAGAAACTGTAACAGTGTGAAAAGGCATCAGCTGCCTTGTTTTCTCAAACCCTGATCGTTCAGAAAGAAAAGAGATCCGTGGCAATAGCAGCTAGGCTAAGCTCTGAGACAGCATTATGCTCTGAAAGATGGGGCCAAGTTTATCATCTATTAAAAAAAACAAAAACACCTCAAGTTATTGGCAACAGCAGCTCAGATGATGTCCCTTCCAGGAAGGTGCCAGAATGCCAGGAAAGATTTAGGTTTTATGCATACAAAACACAGAACCTAAAGTTCAAGGCTGAGTTACCCTAACTGTAAGATTTATGAAAAAGGAAAGTTTTAAGCCTGGTCTTAAAGGTACACAGGATGTGCCTCACTAAGTGAAACTGGAAACTGCTTCCACAAGAGAGGAGCAAGAAAAATAAATAAATCTTTCTCCCATTCTACTTTTAAAAACACTAGAATGCCAGATTACAGTTGTGGCCTGGAAATTGTTGTGTTAGGAACATGTCACAATTGGATCTCCCAATTTTAAAAGGTGTTTCATATGTGAGAAGGATCATTTTTGATTCCGTCCCAGAATTAAAAGGGAAACAATCAAGCCAAGTTAATTATGATCATGTTTTTTAATTCTCATTAGAACCCTTGCTGCATCATTCAGAATAACCTGAAGGTTTCCAACTGCGGTTTGTCAGCTTTCTGAAGTGAAGAATTACAATAGTCCAGTCTTGAAGACAGGCCAGTTGACAAAATAATAGGATATAGGCCCTCACCCATAGCATTCATTTTTTTGTATGTTTATGTAACAGCACATTTTCTGTGCAACTTAAATAGTAAGCCTATGTGCAGTTGTTATTTGTAAACAAAAAATATTTTTGCCATAAGTTTTAGGGGCTGGTCCTACCCTGGGACAGGGGTCACTGACCTGCTTGTCTACCATTGTTGGGTGTCATACTTGAAGTAACAGTGTATGGACACTTTTTTCAGTCAAACTGGTAGACTGAATTTTTACAATATTCCAGAAGTAAAATGAGGTCTAGAATGTGTTTAATATGAGATTAGGATTACAGGTGCTAATAAAAAAAAAAAAAAAAAACAATAAGGAAAACACTTTATTCCTAATATGATAATAATGGCTAAATTGATGTCATTAACTGACTGATTAAGCAGTTCCTTTTTTTTTTTTAAAAAGCATCTGGTCTGAAGATGACACCTTTCTTATTTGAATTTAAAAGTAGAACATTAGCCTAATCAAGGTTGTATGTCTTCAAGACACGTCTGTATTCTGCCTAAATGACTGGCATAAGCAGGATTGATTGCCAAATACAGCAGTGGAACAGTATCCCATGTAATTTTATTGATAGGAAGTGTGTAAGGAAACATCATTTAAATGAGCATTTTGGAATTCATCAGAAAAATAAGATTTAAACTACCCTAGTGTCAGCCCCAGATATAATCAGCATGTTCAAGTCTTTTTAAGACAATGCTGTTGATGGATGTGAGTAAGTAAGCCAGCAGATGGTGAACTGCGAGCAGACAACCGCAGTCTGCTTATTTTGCCAGATGGGGAAAGAAAATGCTTTTCAACCAATATCAGAATGAAGGTTAGGCATATATTGCTTTATTTGTAAATAAAAATATATTTTTTATGTTTTGTTGGACTAGTTTTATTAATGCATCCAGAGGTTCTGAGTTCAAGCCCCACTTGAACTCAAACCCCACGGACTGCCACTCTGGCTCCCTGAGCAAGACCTTTAACCCCACACTGCTCCCCGGGCGCCGCACAACGGCAGCCCACTGTTCCCCAAAGGGATGGGTTAAATGCAGAGAGTTTCTTTCGTTGCTCTGTAGTTGTGACAGTGTAATGAAAATTAAAAAAAATAATTAAAAAAAGCCTAAACCGAAAAAAAGGCTAAGCTTTTGAAACATTGTCGAAAAATAGGGCGACAGTGATGTCAGGTGTAGGAGTTTGCCCTGAAATCGAAGGGTTGACAGTTCAAGCTCCGGCTTTCATTGTCGTTGTGTCATTGGGCAAGACACTTCACCTGCATTGTCTTCTGATGGTTTTCAGAGGGCCCAGTGGCATCAGTGTATGGCAGCCTCGCTTCTGTCAGTGAGCCCCAGAGGAGCTGTGGCTACAATGTGGCTTACCACCATCAGTGTGTGCGTGAATTGGTGAATGACTGAATGTAGTGTAAAGCGCTTTGGTCAAGTCTCCTGACTTGAAAAAGCGCCATATAAGTACAGGCCATTTATCAAAAATGATCCACTATCATAAAAAAAAAAAAAAAAAAAAATTTATGAGGAAGAATTGAATTGCATACAAATGTAACACAAATGGTATTTAGGGTTATAAAAACAAATATCTTATTCCTTCATAATTAATGTCTCACACTAGCACAAGCTTCAAAGAAAGAAGACAATATCGGATGTTTGCTGATGGATTGAGCGTAGCCAATTTAAACCAAGCTATCATTAAAAGCTATATTTAGGCTCTTACTATCTGTCTGAATGAGTTAAATTCCCACCATTATAAGGACCACAATTTAACATTAACTTATAAAAAATAACTTAAAATTTAAGAATAAGATCTAGTGCTTTGCCATGTGGTTGACAAATGGTATGATTTGGGCATTCAAAGAATGGTAGCTTTAGACTTAAGATTAATCAATAAATCTCACTCAATGATGGTTACAACTCATTCCCTTAAATTTTTAGCAAAGCTCCTCCAATGATTCAACACATCTCTTAAAACTCATAAAACAATATTTACCTTGTGTGTTAGAAATAAGTTTATACACCTCCAAGTTATGTTCTGGCATAACTGACTTCTGGCACCGTTAGACCAGTTGTCATTGTCTAAAACACAACCTTTTCACCGGCCTAGCGCAAAGCCAGTGGTGAAGTGGACAAATGGATAGTGGGTGTCATAGCTTAAAGCTCAATGCACAGAAGCCAGGAAACCTGAGCTATAAGGCAATGGCAGGTTCAGAGAGGGCAAATGGATGGATGGTCTACAGGCTAGGGGTCAACAACGAGAGGCAAGAGTGACTATATTAGACTCCAAAGCTGGGTAAAGAAAACGTTATCAGCTATAATATGAACTCTGATCATCACAGCTAAGAATCACTTCTTTCAAAATCTACATCATGTTGTTGATGGAGCTGTGTAATGTACCAGTTACTCAAGGGCTAACTTCTTTTTGATTACAATCCTTGCTGTTGAAGAAACATTTATTGCTAAAGTACCAACTACCAAAACATATTTACACCTGTACCTGTCAAAGCCTTTAATATTTTGATAGGTTTGTTGACTTAGGATTAGATAAAGATATTAGTCATTTCAAAATTATGGCAGATTGGTGACAGTTGATTCTGCCATTCATCTGTGGATGAAGAGTTGACAAGTGTGATCCCCATAGTATGGGCAAATGTACTTGTCTTAACCCGTCTTTGCCACCAACGTAACTGCTACACACTCTTACCTTTGGTTGGAAAGTGTAAGTAGGGCAATTTGGGTTTGTCATTAAAATAAAGTAAATGCTTTCTCAAAAATAGTTTTGGATTGCATTTTGTGGTCAAATGACACAATAGGCTTCTCAGTTTAACAGAATTAAAAAAGAAACATTCTCGGGGAGGGAAACAATCAAGCAGGCCAAATGAGCAAAAGCTAGAGGCCAACTCGAGGAACATAGGGAATACTCCAATAAAGTGTCTTATTGAATACATCATGTGATGCTAACATACAGTCACTCCCTAATGTGACTGTGGGTGGTTTTTGGCCTGGAGTTGATGTCATCAGACGGTGCCCAACCTTCACAGGGTGTTTCGACCCTTAACCGCTACACCCTCCAGCTGGCGGGTCAGCAGTGGTGGCCAGGTCACTGCCCATCATCTCCAGGCCTCCAGCCCCCCTCCTCCCTCTTAAACCACAACCA